GTTTTTTTTTTTTTTTTTTTTTGGCAACTAAAGGCTGATCTATTACTCAAGCTTGAGGTGGTCTGGGAATCCAGACCGGAATTGAACAACCAACATACAAAAGATCACGATAAAAAGAACGGGCAGTTTTAGCTAAGTGATCAGACACCGCATTTAGAGCTCTGGGAACGTAACAAATCTTAAAATCTGGAAAGCAGATCTTCAACGTCTGGATCCTCTCCAGTTCCGTCGAAAAACTTGGCCATTTGCACGGGTCCGTGAGCATTGCTATTAATTCCTTGCAGTCCGTCCCAAAGCTCTGACATGGCGAATGTTGAAGCATGTTCTCCATTGCCCACCGCAGTGCTTCCAGCTCAGAATGCAAAGCCGACTCCAATCTACTCACATTGCGCATCCCCATCAACTGACTATTTCCCGTGCTATCCTTCCAATCCCAGCCACAACCGGAGAACTGATCAATATTGGTCCAGGAACCATCAATCATGCAAATGTCATGCAGGCTTAAGGCCTGACCTCCAGAGTTACCGGTCACTGGTGTGTCCACCTCATCATGCTCATTAGCTTGAAACCAGGCCAGACACTCACTCTCTGCATATCGAGCCAGTTCCAGAGGATCTCTATCTATCCCTCTGAACAGTTTATCATTCCTAGCCTTCCAAATGTACCAAATTATCCACGGATAAGGATCCCTTTCTAACTCTGGCCCAGAAATGACATCCTTCCTCCAGAAGAGGTAGTCCATATTTGCATATGTGCTCTCCAAGGGGAAAGTAGTAATGCTGGTAGGTATGGATGCTAAGGCCCATACCTGTAGAGCCGGTGGACATTGAAAAATTGCATGTGCAATTGTTTCATCATGTTCACCGCACCGCGGGCAGGAATTATCACATCTTATGTGTCTGTTATTCAACGCACTCGTCACAGCCAACTACCCCGAGATGATTTGCCACATAAAATGACACATCTTCGGGGGTGCTTTAACCTTCCATACATGTGCTTGAAGCCTTTTAATACTGGGTTCATCGACCAAATCCTCATCTTCCTTCATTAGGATGTTTCGAGCTACCTAGTATCCAGACTTGACTGTGTACTGCCCATTCCTTGTATAACTCCAGCAGAGAGTGTCTCGTCGATGGGTTGAACTAATAGCCATACTCCTAATGAGAGGTATGTCTGCCGCATCTACATAATTTGCCAGCCGTTCCAGATCCCAAACCTTCCTTTCTTGATCTATCAGATCACTCACTCGCATATTCGGATGCATGACCGGAGCAGCTGCATTCGCTGATCTCGCTGGAATTGTAGGAATCCAAGGGTCCTCCCATACCTTTACTTCATAGCCTGAATGAATTTTCCGTCTAGCCCCCAACAGCAATAATTCGCGTGCAGCCGAGATACTTGTCCACACATATGATGGTTACTAACACTAAGCTTTCGCAAAGGCGAACTTAGCCTATTATACCGCCCCCTCATAACCCGAGCCACCAATGAATCCGGATTTTGGGCCAGTATCCACATCTGCTTTGCTAGTAGTGCTAGGTTAAACTCGTGGATCATCCTGAAACCAATTCCACCTTCCTCCTTAGATAGGCATAGCTTATCCCATGTTGTCCACTGTAAGCCTCTCTTTGGTGGGTTAGAGCTCCACCAAAACTGTGCAATGGCACTAGCTAGGGCGTCACATATCTCCAGTGGAAGCAAAAAGCAAGACATAACATATGTTGGGAGAGCAAGCAGGATCGACTTGATCATTACTTCCTTTCCACCCTTAGACAACCACCTACCCGTCCATCCATTCACTCTGTTCCGAAGTTTGTCTTTTAAGAAGGCAAACAACTTACATTTTGAACCACTGATATCCTCTGGTATCCCTAAGTAGGTGCCCATTCCTGCGTCATTCTGAATCCCAAGCGTATCTTTAATCTCCTGCCCAGTCTCTTGACCGATCCTCTTACCAAAGAGTAAAGAAGACTTGTCAAAATTAATGCACTGTCCAGAGGCTTGTCCATATTTCCTAACCACTTCCATTACTTCTTCACATTCACGGGGCTCCGCCTTGCAAAATAAAAGGCTATCATCAGCAAATAACAGGTGGGATACCGATGGACACGCACGGGTAATGCGCATCCCCGTTATCTTTCCCTGATTCTCTGCGTGATTAAGAAGGCTAACGAGCGCTTCCGTGCATAGAATAAAAATGAAAGGGGATAAAGGATCTCCTTGATGTAGACCTCTCTCCGGAACAATATTCCCCTCGGCTGTCCATTCATGAGTACCTTATACTTGACCGTCGTTATACAACGCATGATCCAGGTAATCCAGACTTCGGAGAAACCCATTTTTCTCATGGTGGCTTCAATGAAAGACCATTCCATACGATCATATGCCTTACTCATATCAGTTTTGATGGCCATCCTCTTATTGCGCCCACTTGGTTTTGTTCTTAATGCATGAAACAGTTCCTGAGCTATCATAATGTTATCCGATATCTGTCCCCCAGCAACAAAGGCTGACTGGGTTTCAGAAATCCTATCCGGAAGGACTTTTTTAAGTCTTTGGCACAAGACCTTTGAAATAATCTTGTAGCAAACATTGCACAGACTAATGGGTCGTAGTTGAGTCATCTGATTTGGCCTGTCGACTTTTGGGATAAGGCAAATGTTAGTTTCATTGAGACCAGTCGGAATAGTCCCTTGAAATAGGAAATCATTAACCATACGAGTTAAATCCTCCTTAACTATATCCCAAAAATTCTGATAGAACAGAGCTGTCATCCCATCAGGTCCAGGAGCTTTCTCAGGATGCATGGCGAAGAGAGCTAATTTAACTTCCCACTCTGAGACCGGGGCCGTGAGACCCTCATTATCTGCCGGCGTAATTGTAGTGGTAACTTCTGACAGTGCCTCCTCAATCTCCTCAGGATGCGATGATTGAAAGATTTGGCGAAAGTAATTGGTAGCAATGGCTACCAGACCTTCCTCATCCTCCACTACATTCCCATCAGCATCTAATAATTGGGTTATCCTATTCCTCGCTCTTCGCTGCTTCGTTAACGCATGGAAGAATTTAGTGTTTCTATCTCCCTCCCTTAGCCAGAATACCCTACACTTTTGTTTCCAGAATAATTCATCTGCCTTAAGGGCATCAGACAATTCTTTTAGGGCCGCCGCTATCTCCTCTGTGGTGGCATCATCATTGGAAGACAGTTATGTGACTAGTTTGCAACTCGATAAATAATCCCACAATATAGTCACACTATAGTTGCAAAGTTTTGTGACTGAACGATGTTTAAATTTGTGACTGCTTTGAGACAAATACTTTTTATCAAATTTTTTTATAGTGACAAATTAGTCCCAAATATTGGTAACTATTGAGTGACTATACACATTTTTCTTTAATTCTCTAAAATATATAATTATTAGATTTATAAAATTGAAATATTAATTTCAAAATTATATATTTTTATTTGAATATTTGAAAATTAAATTTTTTTAAAATTTAATTTACATAACTAAAATTAGAAAACAATATATACAAAAATCTATTTATGTATCATATTATTCCCAAATCCGGTCAAATAAAGTTGACCCCTCACAAGGTATGATCTGCGACG